GTAGACAGCTTATAATTCTACATTTATCTATTTAATTTTGATGTCAATTGATCGGTGGAGAAATCAAATTGAGACAATATCTATATCAATTGCTTAATTTTTCCCCTTTTCTACTTTTCATTTTTATGTAGCAACATTCGAGTAACATCTATATTTTAGAATTATATCTAGGTGAGCTTGTATTTCCAAGTAGGGCTTCCTTGATATAGGAGAAAGCTAATGGAAGAACTAAGGGTTGTTACTAGCAAGAATAAATCCATCCCATTGAACGGTTTATGAACACTATAATGACTTAACGATGGTCTGCATTGGTGGGGTTTACAGAAAAAAGAAATGGAAAAAAACAAGAGAAATGTTGGCACTGCCTACAGATACTCCTCAAACTGTTAGCTTTTTTTTAAATCAGTTTTTTTTATAGAAAGCATCCTTGAAACAACCTTCTGACACAAAAATCAATAGGCGTCTTCCTTTTTGCTATGTCTTTCATTTGCATAAGTTTCTATTCAAATGAGAAATGAGAAACTTAAGTTACCATCCAAAAACTATTTTCCACAAAAATTATATTGTACGGAAAAGCAACCTTGAATTTGGTCCTGTTTACCCCAAAATTATTAATTAACCCCTTCCCTGTACTATAAGTTTCTGTCCAAACAAACAAGAACATTTTGATTATAAGTTCAGCGTTTTAATGTATCGGAAAAAAATCGTCAAAAGACACGAACCATTGAGCCCAAGCACTTTACCGTTAGTCTTCAAAATCGGTTAAAGTTAACATCTGTTCCTCAGTGGTCGTGAATCAACAACAATCTGTCAATCTTGCTGGTTTATAACATCGGTTAGACCGTCCTGTCATTCAGCTATTATAAACTATATTTCAAAAAAATTACAAAAAGACAGAAATAAGATTTATGCAAAAATCCACATGATCGTTAATACATCGGTTTTAGGTAGCGCTGCACGGATGTCGTTCCTGCCACCGAAATTGTATTTTATTTTTTTAACAGATACTTTATAAGTCACACAGGTGACAAAATTAGCCTTCACCCAAACATTTTCAATGGTCGGTGTATTTTAATTCACTCCCCAAGAAAAAAACATTCATTTCGTTGACGTACATGAAGCAAAACGTTTCCTAAAAGTTCCCATCTATAGGAACACTGTTGTTTACGAGAGCTTAGACTTTTCAGTCAAACTTTGACCTTAACAGCCAGTATCGTCTTACATTTGATTGGTCATTCTGTCAGATAGCAGACGATCTCTTACTATTTTAATCACACCTGTCGACAGATAGTCATTACAAGTGATTACTGACAAGAATAAAATATTTAAGGATAATTTACTCTGCAATTAGTAAATTATCCACCAAAAGAAGTATTCTAATTGATTGTAGACTGCATGTCGGCTAATTGTCAGTTGTACGTTCTTTGACATCGCTATAGTGCAAGTATTTCCATACCTTCAACTGATTATTAATTCTGTGATAAATAGATATACAAACTAACCTTGTGTACAACGAAAGGTCATCAGTTTAACTCAAAAATCCAAAAAAAAATTGAATAAAAGTACAACATATGGCAAACAATTTTGCCAGGAGTGATGTATGACCAGTTAGCGAACTCAGAAGTGCAAAATCGAAGAGTTGTTGTTACTTAGTGCAATAAAAGTCCAAATGTTATACATGTTAGAACTACAATAGAATTTTCATATTTAACATATATTCATAAGATGAAAAAGCTTGATCATTTGGCTGTTGAAGACAATTTGGATAAAATAGTGTAATCCTTACATGTTTTTATTTTGTAAAACACCCGATACCAAAAAGATATTTTTGTGTATCTGAATGTTTTTAATATGCAAATATTGGTTTTAGTGTTAAAATTGTCCTCTTTTTTTAAATCAAATAAAATTGCAGTTTTAAACCATCTTTAGTGCTTTATAATTTTGTCATGTATTCCGAATATACAAGATTGTCGATCGCAACGTACCTACAAGAAGCTGTTATGCTGTAATTTTAATAAAGTTTAAAAAAAAAGACTTTCGCAAGAGGGTCTGGAGTTGGAAAGTGGGGAGGGTTGACTCTCGGGCCCATTTTTTCGTCGGAACCCCTCCGGGCCGTGGATCAGCCATTGACTTTTTGAAGATTGCCCTGGGAATCAAGCTTTTTTCGTTTGAAGGATGAACACAAATCGATTCTTTCACCGTTTGTTTAACCGATAAAGGAATTAAGAATGGTTGATCATGATTGATAGATTTTTGGTGTTTTGGTAGAGGAAGCCGGAGTGTTCGGAGAGAACTACCGACCTTTGGCAGGAACACTGACAATCCTAGTCAATTAAGATTGGAGTTGAACGCACCGGCAACATGCGGGGCTCGAACGCGCAGCCTCAGTGTGGACAGGCTATTGGTACAGTAGTAGAACTACTTAGACCAGTCGGCCACCGAGGCCCCGACAAAGGATGAAAAATAAGTCACTTAAAACTAACGTCTATATTAGAACAACAGAAAATCGGACTGTATGTTACACATCATTCCGCTATCGTAAAATTGAAGGCGTGCATTGACATAAAGTCTCAATGGAGGAAAGGGATGCCCAAGAGGTTTTCTGAAAGCAGCCAATAACTGTCGTTGATACGCTTAAAACAGAATCGTCACAATGAAAATTTGCGTCTAGATCATGGATGTCATGATTTTTTTACATGGTTGAGGTTTTTTTTTAAGTCAGGGAGCGTTTTACCTGATAGAAAATACTTGGCGATTGAGGATGTAACATCGTTTAAGTGGTCATCCAAAAGTTTGTTTGGATTTCATGCCATTCTGAAAAAAAAAAACCGTAAAAAACCAAAAGGGTTTTCATTGTTCCATCGTGTGTATTTCCGCTTTAAGGGGGTTTAAAAATCAGAATATATATTTTTTTTTCATTTTTCGTCATGTAGCCTTGAAACTGGCATACAAGGAGGGACAATTGCATTGCGAGAAGAAGGTGTTATGTTGAGGGCTTGTGTAAGCATGAATATTTTTGGTCGCAATAAGTATATAAACTGTTACACAGAGATACGTCTCGCCTGTATGTAAGTTTGCTAGTATAATGCTAAAAGCTTACTTTTATATCATTTGATGTATGGTGTAGAGTCAGATGCTAACCCAGGATTTTGAAAAAGAAGGGGAGGGGCAAAACTAGACACAGTTTGGAGTGGAACAGGTAAGAATTCTGAATTAACCATAAATGTAGCTCCAGAAGGGTGTGGGTACCCTGTCCCCCTGAATCCGCCTCATTGGCAATCATATACTCCATCTTATTTTTATAATGTTGAAAAAATGGTAATACTTTAACATGTATATAGTGAAAAACATACAAAGTCAGTGAATCACGATGGAAGGTGCAGGGCCAAATAATCTCCATGGAAATAAGAACTGGCAGTGCTAATACAGCTGCATACCAAATACCATTGACTCACCATGATTAGTTTTTTATCGTAAACTGACCTTATCACAAACATTAACGTGTAAACTATGCAAAAACGATTCACCTGAGTCAATAGACAGAGGGAGCGGGCCGAAATATCTCTAAGGAAATGGGTCGTACAAAATAAACCGACCGTGCGAGGGCTTTATAGCCATTCAAGGTCGTTAAAAAAACCATAAGTACAAAAAAATGCTAATAAAACTGCACACCAAATACCATTTTCTTACCGTTTAAGTTTCACTTGAATTGACCATATCATAAACTTTAACATGTAAACTAAGAAAAAGTTTCAAAGTCAATAGACCATCACTGAGGAGGGGACAAATGTAGTTCATGAAAATGATGAGATGTGCCAATGGTAATACAACTACATACTAAATATCACTGACCAACTGGTTCCCCTTTAACTGACATTATCACTACTTGACCTAATACATTGTTTCTGTCGCTGATGGAAACAGTACGCCTTAGTCTCGCCTCCGAGCGCCGACTACGTTAAGGCGAGATAAAATGTGTTGCAAACATGTATTGTTCAACCAAGTTCAGCATACTAAGTACACTAGGTTCTTTGTTGTTTATATCAGGGCGTGTAATAAAGTTTGTTGCTTCCTCCTCTTTTTATTTCCCAAACAAAATATATTGGTCTTACATTTTTTTTACATCTCGTACAAAATTTTTTTTTAAAATTTTTATCAAATGTACAAGAGCGTTCGATCCAATGAGAGAGGTCGTTAGTTCGATCTTGGGATGATCTCTGGTCAAATCAATGACTTAAATTTGGCTAACTAAACTCAAAGAATAGACTCATACTCATGCGTTTTGGTTGAGTTACAACTGCCAAATGAGCTAGCTAGCCTCATGGTAAGCTACAACTAAGCGCGTCAAAACTAGCACATAACAGGGTTCATAAGTCGAAATACATCACACTGGATTCAAATTACCCATCCATTTTGAATCTTCTGAGAATATATTAAACCAATTTAAATGTGATTGATTCAAGATAAATTTTAGCAATGTGATTAGTTTGTCATTTCCAATTTATATTTCAGACAAACTCTGTTTCCGAAGCAAAATCGTTGAAGAAATATTTTTGGTTTGAAAAAAATCTTTTATTAATTAACGTAATCACTCAACGCTCTTTCTCTCTTTCTGAAGAATTCATCACTAATCTATTCAATATGTGCAAAATTGTTTGGTATATGTATAAAATGTATCCAATTAAGAAAGCTGCATAGTTTCTACTTGAAAAAAGTATCTATTAAAAGATTTTTTGACCTAAGATCTTACTGTGTTAATGCTTTTCGATTATAAACATTCAAAAGTGATGTGTAATGCTTTCATTATTATCTGTTTTCAATACAATGTTGATTCACATGTTTTTGTCAATGGTCCAAAAAGCTCCGCCCCTTACAATAGAAAGCCAATGAAATCCTGTGAAGATAAATGTTACAACCCATCTTACATATATGGAAGAAATAATGAATGAAAGTTAGAGTGGGTTGTCCCGGAAAGTTATAAACATTTTGTCTGTTTATTGCGTGACCTCCGCATTCTTAGCGAAGTAAAAAAATATGTGCGTAATGTTAGGACGTATATAAATAACTGCACCGAAAAAATCTGCCAATGTTGACGAAAAATGTTCACAAGAATGGATGTTATTCAGTCTGTATTGGGAATTTATTCTTTAACAGTGAGTACATTATTTTACACATAACAAAATTATAGTAAACAAATAAATTTCTAAAATAACTAAGCATAAAAATTTATTGAAATCTGTATTGATTTAAAATTTTCGCACAACTGGCTTATATGTATTAAATATTTTTCCTGTAGAATTATTCAATTAAAAGGAATTCATGTATTACGTAATAGTACATTAGTTAAAATAATAAAATTCTTTGATTGTTTTTCGCTACAACACCCAGGGTGGACACTTAATGTTGGACTGTTATTCTCGTTTTGTAAATAAAAACAAGATTAAACTGTGTGGGGAACATTGACACTTCTGACACCTTTTAAGTTTTATCAAAACTTTCTCCCAAATAAATGAATGTTTTCTTTGTACAGTTACTGATAAGAGGTTGTGCGAGTTCTCTGGTGATTGATATTAGACCTAAAAATGGAATCTGGGACACTGCAGAAAGACCTTGTGCAAAGAAATGTAAATACGGTTACGAAGCTGATGTAGAGGGAAACACTATGTGTCAATGTTTAGACCCGTGCGCGGTAAGTCCTTGACCTCATGTTAACAGGCTTTAGAATCAACAGTTTCATCAATTCTTATAAACCCTTGTCACCAAACAGATGGAGAGAAAGTAGATATGTCATTTAAACCATATGAAATGGACATAATGGACATTCTGGATGAAAATAAACAAAAAAATGTCAGTTTGCACTGTATCAACCAATGGCCTTGATTTTTTTTAAAGGCCTTGACCTTACTTTGTTTGAATCACATGTTTTCGCTGGATACTTTCCAATCACTACACCCACACTTTATTACTCTGTCAAATTTAGCTATTATGTCAAGGAAAATTAAAATTGTTTACAAAATATTGGTCTGGGTTAATGATGGGATTAGCATCTTACCTGTAAAATACGTCGAATACTTTTATCAATTCGCCCAGGAATGTTTATATTAATTGATAATTACAGCTATTCTATTTCACATAAAATAGCTTTAATAGGATAATTATGACACTGGCGGCATTTGGCAGTGATTTTTATGTAGAATTGTAATTATCTGGCAGGTGTGTAGGAAAACGATATCAAGTTTTAACTCACTTAACACGTAAATTGTCGATCAATTTTCAAATCAGAAATGATGACGAGTTAATCTTTAGGAACTTTATGTCAAGTCATATCTGTCTATGTCTTACTATCTTCTTTATTTCTCTTCAGCATATTTATTGCCCGTTTGAAGGAACAAAATGTGTCGTACGTAGGACAGACCAATTTTGTGTCCATGGTCAATGTAAATACGAGGCAACGTGCAGAACAGGTAACTTTAGTCTCAGGAGAGGATATTTCTGTTTTTTTATATTTTCAAATTTAAAAATGTTTTTCATATATTATTGAAGCCTATAACATTAACAAGCTCGTCGAGCTTTCCATTATTTCGTAATAACTTTCATTATGTGTAAAACTGTGACATTGCTTAACGTCCAGTGGTAAATATTTGGGATATACGTCAGTTCACGTTAATACGGGCCATGAGAGAAAACGTTAGGAATGTCAAAAATAGAAAATCAGAAAAATTTAGAATGATTATCTACAAAGTTCTGATATCAATTTTATTGTTGTAATATCTATTGATTAGCGTAAAAAAGGCGTTGGTCTCGTTTCTTCTAAGTAAAGAAATGGACTGCTTGAAAATCTATTTTATTTCACATTGATTAATAGTATTACGTACTAGGTCCATGGTACATTAAGGCGTCAGTTCTACTATGGTTGCTAAGACACCAAAGGAAAATGTTTATCGATCATCAATTGGTAACTACTACATTTAATGTGAAAAACTAATTTATTTGGATTGATGCTTATAAAGAAAACTTTCCCATAAACTCCGTAGGAATCAGTACATCAGTACATTGACCCATAGATGGGTTTATACATCTATGATTGACCTTAGTTTATTTTTAAAGTCCATATTGACACTAGTTTCCAGCGCACAGATACCGATTACTATTAACGAAGCATCTACTAAAATCTCACGACAACAACAGAGAGTTATAGTCTCCGTTAGGGTACAACATTTTGACAATAATCTGTCGTATAATAATATAAAGTCACAAGACAACAACAGAGAGTTATAGTCTCCGTTAGGGTACAACATTTCGACTTTAATCTGTCGTATAATAATACAAAGTCACAATTTTGTCACTTTCAGTGATGTATCAAATAATCTTAAAACTCATTTGAAATGAAATACATAACGTATAAAATTACAATTGAAACGAGTGGTTTTCTCGCTCTCGTTTATATTGTTTCACGTTTTGTCATCTCAGAGCATTTTATAACTTACTATACGGTATGGGTTTTGCTCATTGTTGAAGGGCATTTCACAAATACATGAGCTAGCTCCATAAGACAACTGTCGGTCAATATGGACTATTCTATGGACCAAAAAACTGTTAAATCTCATCCAGCAGAGAGTACATTGTTATGATATTTTATTACATTCAGATCGTCAATCGGCAACGGTATCTTTAAATTAAGTGTAACAATAATAAAGTGTTCCAAACATACTTTATTTACTTACGTCACTAATATTATTACATAATTTATTTCAGTTTCCAATCAAAGACGGAAGAAGCTACAAAAACTGAACAGATATAGATTAAACAAATACAAAAATGAAGTGTATTACGAACTACAGAGGGATAGCAGTGACACAAGTGTGACAAATTTATGTTCCCGACAGCCTTCCATAAACAGTAGATATAGCTGTGATCGTAAACAAAAGGGATATTATTATGATGGTTTAAAAGACGCTTGTGTTCGTTTTAAAGGGTGTCACCAAACAGGTGACTTCTTCGGCAGAAGAAAAGATTGTAAAAGATCATGTATGAAAAAAGACAATTCCATAGGTATGCATAATATTACTGTACATTGGATTTTACACAATTCCTTTATTTATAGTCATGGTTGCCTCAGTATTGCCTTCAAGACATTTGGAAGCTCCTTTTCAGAGTCATCTCTATAGACACAAAGTTTTGGGTTTTGGAGAAAAAGTTGAGTCTAAGGTTCAATTCCGCCCCATAAACCAGATAATGCTTTTTTTTACTAGTATGCCGATTGCAAATTCAATAGGTGGTCATTTAAAACCCTTTTAGACCGTAAGTGACATAATTTACACATTCTGGCTCCTTAGGAACGCCGGGTTGTGGAGGGCAGCCGTAGCCACAGGCTTTTCCGATTTTGACAAGTTTCAGTATTCCATACAATGAGCCGTACCTTCTGCGTCATATCAATTACAATATTCAAATTCGTATGCTAATAGGAAGTTATTTAGTCTTGTAAATGTTGTTTAACACTAATGTTTGGGGAAGCTCTTTGTCATTTTTTATCAAAAGTACAAAGAAACTTGCGTGGGAAGTGTGTCATGTCAGGAATATAATAGTATGAATGAGTAGTCTATGATATCATGTACATGATGTAGTGAACATCGAGCATGACATGTATGCAGATCTTCACTTCTAAAATGCAAGATAGTGGGTTGAAATTACTTGTGCGATTGACACAAAGAAAAATACATAGGGCAAAAAAGAAGAAGAATTTCCGTTACTCATACGAGATAACATTTTGTTTAGACCTTTGATGGGTTAACGTTTGCATTGTCGCATTGCAATCTCGTCAGTCTATTCTGTGTGCCCAGTGTTGCGGATCCAGGACTTTCAAAATGGGGGAAGGGATCCTTGAGGAGCCCACTGTAAAAGATATGTTCCGGCCTCGTCCCCAGTCCACTTTTGGGTCCGCTTATGAATTGCTATATAAATCCAGTCGTGAGAAAATACGCCATTTGGAACTTTATATCGCTATTTCTTTAAAAGTAATTAGAAATTTCCATACAAAATGTTATAAGAAAAAAGGTTCGTCCTGAATATGCATGAAATATTTGCGTCTAGACGCAAATCAAACAAAATTAGATCAACTAACTTGTCTGTGTTAAAAATATGTAAAGGTATGTAGATATATTTTTACCAGAGACAAGTGACACCGTACCAACTGCCTTAAAAGGGAACCAGAAACAGGAATCCAGGGGACATGTACATATATGATTAGTGATGGGGAGGGGATGGTAATCTATCACTTGAAAGCTGATCGGTGTATTGACAAACGAGGAAAGAATGCAAATTACACCCCCTTTTAATCATTTGATAAACATATACGATAGAATGACAAATCAATTCTGACCCAGTGCTTCGTCATTTATGTTTATACAACTGTTGAGATGGAGTTATCATCCGTAAACATGATAAACATTGCCCTTGTATAGAAATAAACACCCTAGGCCAAACTAGGAACGTAACAATTTAATGAAATATTTGTTTTCAACAACTCTTGACAGATGTTTCTATTTACTTATAAGATAGTTCACACCTTTTTAGACCAGTGGTCAACAAAAACAACCATTTAATGCACTCTCATATATAATATGACTGTTTTTATCTCTCGAATGATCACACAAATACTATATTGGATACCAATCATTATATGAGTAGATTTAGATAGCAATAAACACTATCACCATCACCTTTTTCGCTCATATAAGGATCGAGAGACAGAAAAATAAAGACATTTTATTACACATGCTTTAAAAACTAAATAAATGTTTAATATTGTAATTACCAGTATGCATATGAAAAGCACGATATATTTATTATCCTCAGAATTACACAGTCTAAAAATACGGAATAAAATATGTACACTTACGCCACCTGACAGTACACAGTGCACGAGACAAAGACGAGTGTGGCATTTTGATAGTCGAAAAGGACGCTGTGTTAAGTCAAGAGGTTGTCATTACACAGGAAACAGTTTTAAGAGGAGAAGTCAATGTAAAAATACTTGTAATAGAAGAAAATCAAAGAAGCAGCAAAGAAAACAGAGAATAAGATTTGTAAGTTAGGTGAGTTTAGTTTTTAGATCATGTAAAAAAAAAGTACATAAATAAATAAAAAAAAAACACACACACACACACAACCCGCCCCCCCTCCCCCCCCCCCCAAAAAAAAAAAACAAGGCAAGGGGACATCGCACACAGTTCGAGTCGTCAATTACTTGATAAAGTTAAATATCCCATATACCATATTAGGAATATGTATTTTACAGAAGTTATAAATGGCACATAGCTGAGAGGGTGATAGTTCTAATGAGTAAATGGGTGATGGCTCGAGAAAAAAACATTGTTAACCGAGACAGAGATATTAATCTGATCTATCATCGTTTCAGTTATGTGTTACTTCACGGTCTTTGCATTTCTTTTACCGCAGCTGAGACCGTCAAATTCCTAATTGACGAAGGAATCTATTAACACAGTACTATTATTATTAATTATTAATTTTCTCAATTTCAAGACGTCCTTCTGCAACTCGTTATATCAATGTTTTTATATTTTCGTTTTTTTTTTTGCAGAATACACAAACTAGATGAACAGGTTAAATTTCATGACATTGACCATTGTCCGACTTGATGTCACACAAACCAAAATGTACATTTGAAATGTACGACGACGAACGTCATCATGGCGGAATATAAAACGGACACGGAGTCCATTTGATTCTATGAATCGGAGACAGGAGCAGGGATCCTGCATTTACGAGAGCAGCTACTGTGAAATTCCACATAAACAATGAAGGGCGTACTTCAGTGATAGTTTTTTTACTCCATTGTTATTTTTGACTTATTTATTTACTGTATTTTTGTAATAAAATGTGATAATTATTGTTTGATATATATGTTAAACACTGCAAAATACTTAATCAATTTAAACATAGATTTCTGACAACTATCCAAGCTATTTTTAATTTCTTGGCACTCCCCCTTTATCTATTATAGTTATTCATTCTGTGTGTACACTTAGGAACTTGCTTTACATGATAGAAATGTATGAACACACAAATGACATTTCGTACTAGAAAAAAAAATGATATATCAGCTTCGAGAATATAACAAATGAACATAATATGTTGCGATAATAGATTTTCCAATTATACATTGCGTCTAAAAATACCACTGGAAATTTATTTTAGGAATAACAGTACCGTATTTGAAAAGTTCCAATTAGTTGACGATTACAAATGATGTTTTACTAGGACCACATGTAAAACGAATATGTACGACCATCAAATCCAAAAATTGATAGTGACATTTTTTTAAATACAGTAATGTTATTCCAACTAACAAATGTTCATTATTTTACATTTGAAATATTTCGAAAACGTCCCTGATTACGCAGCGTTGTTGACAAGGACTCCGTCGGTCAATGATATGATTGACGACAGACGTCATCCAATAAGATATGACATTACATGTCGCATTGCATTGCGATTTAAATCGTCAATTATATTGTTTATTTTGCCACTCATCTCAAGGTAACATTGAACGAGGTTCTAATTTTTACTGTTCATAAATGATTAGAAGATATTTCACTCAGTGAAACCGATCTCGGAAGATGAATAAATGATGGGTAATAGGACACAAATAACGAAAGGTTCAACAACGCGCAATGATCTGTAATTATTTACCTTCGATATTTTGTAAACATAGGGTCATTTGACAAAGGGTTATTATATAAATATAAGATGTGGTATAATTGCCAATAAGACAACTATCCACCCAAAGAGCAAACGTTAAAGATGTGAAAAACTTCTGGACACCATACGACCTTCAACAATGAGCAAAACCAATACCGTTTATTACAGCTATAAAAATGTCCAGGATGACAAAATGTAAACTGTTCAAACGAGTAAACCAACAACTTGATGTATGCTGAAATCAATTATATGGCAGATAGTATGCAGCAAAGGACAGCCAGTGTATCACAGGCTTTTGATTTATACATATAAAAGCATGAGAACATGGAGTAGATAATAGTTTGGTGGTGCTTATCGCCACTTTTATATTTTTGTTACTGGGTGAAGAATATGAAAGTACCCGGATTTAATCGCCTACCTGCGGCGTACAATTATCAAACCAACAAAACCAAGCTTCTTGTTTATGCAAATGACCTTTACAAACTAAACAAAATGGTAGACTGAGCGTACGACTCTATCTGTTTGTGCAAATGACTGTACAAACTAAACAAAATGGTAGACTGAGCGTACGACTCTATCTGTTTATGCAAATGACTGTACAAACTAAACAAAATGGTAGACTGAGCGTACGACTCTATCTGTTTATGCAAATGACTGTACAAACTAAACAAAATGGTAGACTGAGCGTACGACTCTATCTTTTTATGAAATGAATTCAGCTAGCATGTTCGTCTTTAGGGAATGAACTTAATTGTTCCAAAACAACCTCTTGTTGGTGAAAAAAATATCGTTAACCTATATATAAACCATTACAAAGTTCTTTAAAAATTAAAACAGCCTGTTTGTGTCAAATAAAACAAACGGTATACCAGTCAAATAACGCCTGAACAGTGTATATATATATATACATATGTTTACAACAATTTCTAATAAGAAGACTCCAGTTTGATTGATTAAAACGTTTCCAGTGACGACTTTTTTGAAAGGTTCTTTCTTGAATAGTCCATTTCCGTAACCGATGGTGTTAGGCACGGGTAGTCCATTTCCGTAACCGATGGTGTTGTGTCAATTCTAGGCACGGAATAGTCCATTTCCGTAACCGATGGTGTTGTGTCAATTCTAGGCACGGAATAGTCCATTTCCGTAACCGATGGTGTTGTGTCAATTCTAGGCACGGAATAGTCCATTTCCGTAACCGATGGTGTTGTGTCAATTCTATGCACGATACAAATCAATGGAATGTACAACACTCGGTTGTTGTTCGATATTAAGCGTAAAAAAAAAGAAATACTATCTGATGCTTGGTATCTCAAAAACCGAAATGTCTCAAATTGACCAACACACCTAACTCCTTGCAGCAGAGTAAATGTAGATTCTATAACTTAAAATTGAACAGAGCGATCAGTGCATGAATCGCTCGTTGTCATCATTTCGAGAAAAAAAGATTGAAGTCCTATTTGAGGTTTCGTTCTCTCGCATAATCATTCACAAATGTCATGGTATTTTGGGAAATTGTTCTGGATTTTGCATGAATTTCATATCAAAATAGTCCCTTTTTTAATATAATAAGTCTTGCAATTTACAGGATCGTCGAGCCTTCTTTCTTCGGTATATAACTGTGTATAACTTTCATTTACAATCAATTTACGAACGGTATACCGCTCTCGGTTTTATACATTGACACTAGGGCATTGACAAAATAATCCATATCAACTTTGTTTTTCATGATTTTTTTTGTACATAAATCAGGCCTTTGTTTTCACGTTTCATTGTTCATTTGGTCATGTCGGGACCTTTTATAGCTTGCTCTGCGGTATGGGATTTGCTCATTGTCGAAGGCCGTACGGTGATGTATGGTTGCCCAAATCTACGTCATTTGGTCTTTGGTGGATAATTGTCTCTGGTGAATAGTTGTCTCAACGGCATTCATACCACATCTTTTTTTAATTTTTATATAAGAAGGTACAATAAAAAAATAAAAGTATAATCCTCTCCGATAGATATTAAATATTGCTTACACGGTACAACTCAAAGCATAAAGTTCCAGACCAAATACCAAGTTTTTCCTAATACAGGCACTGAAGAATATTTAACAATACGGTTACGGACGGACGAACAAGGTGATTGTAGTTTACCACTCACTCCCAGTGGATAAAAAAAACCTAAAAAGTAACGTTATCATATCAACAAACTATAATGAATGAAAGGATGCCATCAAGTCAAGTATACCTAAAAGATTGCTTAAATGTGTTGTAATTTTATAGTAGATTAAGCATGAAATTTCTATCCTTCAAACATTTCTGTACACATTTTACGCTGTAATTACTTGAAATAGCGGGAGATTTTGTATGAGGGTCATATATCCAACCTTCGTTTGTTTTAAGCACCCAGAAACTAAAATTTTTTTTTGGTATATTTACTTTCTGCTGGTGTTTTGTTGTAAAGACTGTACACTTTGTCAAAAGCGCATTCGAAATTGAGCAAAGCTGTGACATCTGCATAAAACATACACTATATTTGACGAATTGTGGCATGAACAATTTCACGTAACGTCAACATCATTAAGATAATAAACTAAATGCATTTTTAAATTAAGATCGTAGGGGAAATACTTGCACTTGACTCTATCAAGTTAAATGAAGTTCTTATCATTCATCAGTACCTACGCCTCCACAAAGATCACTTGTACCGACTTGAAATATTTGAAGGGTGTAGGGGTCAGTATACCCTGGTATCCTGTTCCGCTCGCACCTGTTCACAGTTATCTGAACTTAAAAGTACGTTTATTTTTTTAATCTGATTTACCGTGATGGGTTGTGGAGTCAAAACAATTAGCGATACTGAAGTCCATGACATCGGGGTGAACTAAAATAACATGTTTTTTTCTTGTTGACCAAGACCTTCACACTTGAACGCCAAATTCGTAAACAAAATAATTTCATAGAACTTCGCGTTACGATTTTGAATAATCTTGGCATGTATATCCTAGAGTTTAATTTGATGTAATTCTCATTAAAACCTCCCCTTCATTGCACTTAAAATTGTTTAATATATAAACATCCGCTCTTGATACTATCATAATCCGGCATATGAAAAATACTACAAAATTCTTTTTGTATAAAAGCCTATTATAATTACCATGTCGGCAAATTTATAGATCAAAAGAGAGACAAAGTAAGCATTAAATAAGACAATTCGGAGTTCAGCGCTGCTTGAATCTTCAGACGAATTCTGTCCGCCTACAGAACTATGTTTGACATTAGATTTTGGATTACGGTTAAATGGAAAATATGACAAATTTGCCAGTGCAATTAAGAGGCAGAGCCAATTTCCGAATTTCTTTCATTTGTTGAACAACACCCGACATTTGTTAAGAACTAATGGAATTTGAACAAGAATGCACGCGTTGTCGTAATAAGCATACATCCACTCATAATCTAAAGTATCGGAAAACTGGAACTATGTGTCTAGCAGATCCGAAAATCGAAAGCACACTACAACTGATCTCTGTTGAACTTCAGATCAAATATTAAATCATTTTGTTCAATGGTATTGGGGAAATATGTGATATCAATTTTTAAGTTCATTCTACATATTGAAGATTTTAAAGTCAGACAAACACGGAGTAGGTATCTAAAGTGATCACACGTTGCAACTCATCACTGTCAAGCTGCAGACTAAGTCATTCTGTGGAGATTTTTCTGAGAAAAATACGGACGAAAAAAATTGTTGGACAAACGTACGGACAAGATGATTGCAAGTTAGCCCCAACTATAGAGCCCCATAATATAATATTTAGGAGTCTAAATAATGAACATTTAATATTTTGCAATAATTTTACAGATATCTATATATACTCAAAAACTCATTCAGTGCTAAACTTTATTGTCAAAGACAGTTTTGTACGTATACTTACTATATAACGGTTTTGTAAAAAAATATTAAAGGGCATATTTAACAAAAAAGAATTGATTTGTATCTGAAAAAGTTTTGGTTAGGGTAAAGTATATCCTTCTAATGGATTTTGCGATAATAAGTAAAACTCAAAGTTGGCAAACATTTACCAAAATTGAAGCTTTTTAAGCCATCTTTATGCGTTTGAAATTTGTTGACATGATATTCTGAATATTTCAGGACTTCCTCAATTCATTTCAGGGTATCACTTAATCGAATTATGGAGGTCCTGAAA